ATATGAAAACAATATATAAGGAAAATAATTACCATAAAGAGAAAAGATGGATTGTTTTCTAATATACTCTTTGTCATGTGAGTATTCCAGGAAATAAATTACAATAAATGTCTATAAATATATGCATGATTTATAGAGCTTTACAAATATATAAAATAAATCAAAATATTAAATATAGAGAATATATGTACTCTTCATTCAGGAAAGTCTTAAGCAACATATGAAACTTACTGGCCTCAGTTCATAAATCTGTATAAATTTTAAACCTTCTGTACAAGCAAGACATGTCATAATTGAAAGACAAGTAAGAAATATGGAGAAAGATAGTGTGTATATATATATTTATATATATTAGATGAACTATTAACTTTAACCTTTTAAAAATACAAGCAACTAAAAATCAATAAAATACCTAATATAAAAATAGAAAATGAATTAACAAGTATAAAGCAGTAAATGTGAACAAATATAACCTAACTAGAAATTAAGGAAATATGAATTCGTTTAGCAACATATTTCACAATTTCAGAGTGGCAAAAGTTAAAAGCTGAGAGTTCCCACTGTTCCTGAATGTATGCTGGTATGCAGATTACTCTAACCTTTAGAAAAAAAACTAGAAAGTAAAAGATTTTCAAATCTACTAAATCATAAAATTATGAATCCTTTGTCCCAGCAATCCCACATATAGAAATGTCTTAGTGAAAAATGGTATCAATGCATAAGGCCTAAACAGACCTTTAAGTATGGTTTTATAACATTTACAATACCAAGAAAGATAAATAACTTTAAAAAGATGGGTGGTACGAGCCGAGGGTGTCTGAACACAAACTAAATTTCTATTTCCATCACAATGGTTTACATTTTGTGGTACATGCATAATTTAGACTTCTTTACTGCTATTAGAATGAATCAAATTTATATCTACTAGAAAGATGCCTATGATATTAAATGCAAAAAAGAAAATATCAGAAAAATATGTATAACACAATCTCATATATGTCTTAAACAAAAAAGAAAACAAAAAGAAAAAGACAGCTGGACAAACAAATCCAAGAGACTCATCGCCAAGTGCTGGTGGCTCACATCTACAATCCTAGCTACTCAGAGGAAGCTGAGATCTGAGGACTGTGAGTCAAAGCAGGCTGGGGTACAAAAGTCCATGAGATTCTTATCCTCATTTAACCAGTAGAAAGCCAGACGCAGAGGGGTGGCTCAAGTGGAACAGCACCAGCCTTGAGTAAAATAGCTAAGGGACAGCAAACACCCAGGATCTGAATTCAAGCCCCAGTACAAGCATAATAAATAAGAACAGCAAATGCAATGAGTAAAAACAATAAATTAATAAAAATAATTTTAATAAGTTAATTAAAAATTAATCAATAAAATTAATAGACTTGTCTCCAGTTCACCAGCAAAAATCCAGAACTGAAAGTGTGGCTCAAAGGGTAGAGTGCTAGCTATGAGCAGGAGTTCCAGGACCTAAGTTCAAGCCTCAGTACCAGCTCAAAAGGAGAGAGGAGAAGAGGGGAAGAGAGAATTTATGTAACAGGAAACTAATGTTGGAGTTTTTAGAGATTCTTATCTATATATTTAATTTTTCAAATGGCCAATGCATGTACCTACTTCAATTACAGGTCTCACTATGAATATACTTTTGTCTTTTAATGCCTTAATCAAGGTGCATTAAAGACATTATCAGACAATACAGTCCTCTGTAATCCACTATAGCAGAAAACCAAAAAGCAACAAAAGCAACCGTTAATGACAAAATGTTCAATACCTCTTTTTTATTTTAAGGCCAAACAAAAACACTTAACTTTATAATTTTACACTTATAGAAAACAATCAAAAATTTTCTTCTCTGTTAGCCAAAATAAGCTATTTCAGTCATTTCTTTTTTTTTTTTTTTTTGGGGTCCGGTCATGGGGCCTGAATTCTGGGCCTGGGCGCTGTCCCTCAGCTCTTCAGCTCAAGGCAAACGCTCTACCACTTGAGCCACAGCGCCACTTCCAGCTTTTTTTTTCTTTTTGCTTATGTGGTGCTGAGGAATCGAACCCAGGGCCTCAGGCATGCAAGGCAAGCACTCTACCACTGAGCCACCTTCCCAGCCCTCAGTCATTTCTTTGAATAATATAATTTTGCTCATTGTATGGATATAAACAAGGTGAGACATTACACTAAACCAATTTGTGATAGGAAGTGAATTTTCTCAAAATGATACTCATTCTTTGGTATTACTACTTAAAAATTCTATTCAAACAGAAATCTTCAAGTCAGCTCAATATAAAAATCTCAGTCAGAGTGGCATAATTTAAGGAGCCTTCCACTTGAAATCAGACATACCTGATTCCAGCCTTGGCTATGGTACTTATTAAGTAATAAGGTCTTGGGAAAATTATATAATCTCAATATCTTATTTCTACAAACAGAGCTTTTTATTGCATGCTTGGAAGACTGCATAAAAGTATCACAGATTAAAAGAGTCTAGTGAAAAGATTCTGGTTATCAAAACATGCCTTCTGCCTTTCTTTACTAAGGGGTCAAATTACTAATGGGCAATGTCCCTTTTCATTGGAACTCACTACAGGCTAGGAATTATGGGCCAGCCCAAAGATTACAAGACCCAATCACATCCCACCATAATTTACCACTCCCCACCTTAAGAAAAAAATTAAAGACTGAATTAATATAAAGCTATACATTTTGTCATTTTGCTTGTACCTTCAGATGTAAAACATTTATAGGTATTTTGCACTTGAGTTCTTTTTTTTAGGACTTTTTTGTTTAGAGACAGCTTTTTGATATGTATTCCCCGGCTGGCCTTGAACACACCATGGTAATCCTGCTTTAACACCTGATAACTAGGATTATGGCAATCACCCCCCACAACTGGTCCTGAATTATTTTTCAGAATTATTTTGATGCATATTTACTGTTTTTTATGTAACTATTTGTTTTGATTCTTAATAGTCCCAATGGAATTTTCTTTCATGTATAACATATATATATTTTTTTTTTATTTTTTTTTGCCAGTCCTGGGGCTTGAACTCAGGGCCTGGGCACTATACCTGAGCTTCTTTTGCTCAAGGCTAGCACTCTACCACTTGAGCCACAGCACTACTTCTGGATTTTTCTGTTAATGTGGTGATGAGGAATTGAACCCGGGGCTTCCTGCATGCTAAGCAAGCACTTCACCACTAAGCCACACTCCCAGCCATTATGTTCATTCAACCTGTGGCATTATATGTCTTTAGATACTTTATAAAATTATTCAAGTTGTGTCTATGAAAATCACTTGCAAGTACTACAGGGGAAAAAAATGTTAGGGACGAAACAATTTAAGTCATTTCAACCTACTATAATGAATCTAAGAAACTAACTCTAAAGAAATACAAATAGCAATACAATAAAAATTACAAATTTTTATTTTAAGTTACTTGCAACTTTTAAGATGAATCACTTTCTTCTTGTAAAGCTTGATCATAGAGGCTAGAAAATGATCCAATACTGCATAAATGGTTCCAAATGAAAAAGCATTTTGTTCAACATCCAAGTTCATCATTAAATGAATATTAATAAATAAATGTTTATAATAAATAAATTGAGAGCTCTTCAAAGTTTACTTTAGAACTGAGAATTGAGAGTATCTTTAGTTTCTCTTTGGGTGTTCTTTAATACAATGTTTCCAAAGCTTTCCTCAATGCCTAAAAAACTACAGCTTATCAGCTACTCTACTTAAATAACAATGCATCTACAGCAACAACTAGCTCTTCTCCACACTGCTTAAAGGTACTTTTTCTTTTGCTTGCTTTCCAAAAGGTGTTGAAGATGATGGTGAGGTGAACGTGTTTGCAGAAAACACTTCACATGACGTTTCCATACTCACATTACATACTCTTGGGCAGATTCCTAAGGATCGTGAACATTTTAAATCAAAATGCATTACTGTCAACTCTGAAACTTCACGTCTTCATCTGCACCACGCTAAAGGCCCAAGTTCTCCACTACTCTGAACACCCTTGCTGTTTGTGCCTTCTTGTGGGCTTTCACAATGTCACACTCCAACTCTTTGCCTCTCCGATCCCTTCCCTCATTGAGACATGGTTAACTGCTTAAGGTACTTGGCCATATGGCTACCTCTCCGTACAGTGTTTTTGCTGCCGCAAACGTCATCTCACTAGAAACCCCTCGTCTCAGTGTGTGCCTTCCTCTTTTAAATTCACTACTACAAACACGGCCGCGAAGCAGCGCGCAGACACAACCCGATTCTGAAACCCACATTAACCATCAGTCCAGCGCCACCGAGAAGGCATTTCGATCCCGGATGCCTCGCCGTGCCGGGAAAGCTTTCCCCTGGCTCCCCAGTCCCACCTGCCCAGCCCAGCTCCACCGCCAGCCGGTAAGGTCCTTCCCCCCCCCCCCCCCCCCCCCACTCAACGCAAGAGCCCAACTCCAGTTAATAATAAATGCAAGTGCAGTTCCTCCTCTCGCTCCCCAGCCTTCCCGGCATCTCCAACCATTCCCGGGCATCCGTTCCACCGTTCACCTTCCCGCCAACCACCCCCCCCCCCGCGAAATTCTCTACCCAAGGTGTCCAGACCTCGAGTTCGAATACCGCTCCCCCGCCCTCCCTGACCCCCGCCGAGCTCCCCCTTTGGAATGCTCCGGGAACACGCGAGCCCCTGGGGCGTTCCGAGCCTTTCTCCCACGGCTTTCTGGAGGAGTACAGAAGCACCAGCTAGCTCTCCAGAGTTCGCGCTTCCCCTTCCCCTCCCCACGGAACGGCTACTTCGGGGGCGACCCTTGCCACCTCGGGCCCGTGACCCGGCGGGCTGCGAACGCCGCCCGGGCTCGATCCGGCCGGGGGCCGGAGCGCGCGCTCTAGATGCTCCCCCAGCGCCAACCTCAGCCCCCCCCCTCCCCTGGAACCAGACCCCACGGGACACGAACGCCCACTCTTCCCGGACCCGGTCCCATCCAAAACCCACTCAGCCCCTCACCTAGCTTCGACTGGGACTCCTCCAGTTTCTGGATCTGGTTCTCCAGGAAGAGCATCGCCACCACGAAGGCCACCACCGCCAGCAGCTGCAACTTGGGCGGCATCATAATCCTGAGGAGCCCCATGAAACCCGCCGCTCGGGATCAAGACATACCGCGGGGGGGTTGGGGGGGCGGGCAGCGGGGCCCCGGGCCCGCCGAGCCGGGAGAGGGGCGAGGAGGACACGCCGGGCAGCGCACCGCCGCAGCGACCCCCCTTCTCGCCTCTCCGGTCCCCCGCCCCCAGGCGCCAGCACCGACCCCGCCGGCGTCCGCTTCTGCCCGGCCGACTCAGCTGCCACCCCCTCCTTCAAGAGCCCGCGCAGCAAACACAGCGCGAGGAGGAGGCTGCCGGGCTCCGTCGGCTGCCTCAACTGCTTCAGTTCTCGACCCCAGTACGTCCGACGGCCCGCCCGCCTTCCTCGCCGGCTGCCTTCCCACCTTCCACGGCAGGCGGACGCGCGCCCCTCCACCAGCGCTGCGGCTGCGGCTGCGCCGCCCTCGGCCCCGCCCCTTTCCCATCCCCCGCGGCCACCACGCGCGCGCATCTACGTACGCTGCTCGGCAACCACAGGCTCCACCCCCCCTCTCCGAGTCGGTGCTGCTCATTGGTTGCAAGAACCCCAGGCGTTCCGCTCAGAGTTCGGTTTACGGTTGGGTTCCTTTTCCACCGGGCTCAACCAAAGCGACATGCGATTGGCTCAAATTAGAGAAAGAGGCAGGGCTGAAACTGGAGGAGGCGGGGCTTCGTGGCTGCCTGACGAAATGTCGTGAATGAAAGGAAGGAGTTCAAGCAAGCGCAAGAATGGGGAATTTAGGAAAGTGCCTGATTTGAGTAATTGAAAGCCCCCGACGACTGTTTTTGCATCCCACCACCCCAAAGTTCTTACATTCCGTTGGTTAATGTGTGTCTCTCCTGAATAACCTAGTCGATGGCAGCGGCCTTGGGCGTCCTGTTTCGAGTCAGGCTCTGGAAGGGACACCCCTTAGCTCTGGGGTCCTCAGCGCATCCCCGAGGTTGACGATAGTTGAGAGCGATGGCGGCCGGGCAGGGCGGGTGGCTCGGGCCGGCGTGTGGGTTGCGGTTGTTGTTGGCGACTGTGCTTCAGGCGGTGAGTGTCGGTCACCCGGAGGCCCGGACAGGAGGAGGCCGGCAGATGGCGTCCCGCGTGGGAGCCGCACCGGGGGTGGGGGGTGGGAGGGGCCGGGCTTCCGGGCCGGGCCCTGGCGCCGGGCGACGTGGCTGTAGTTCGGGCTGAGGGTCTGGCCGTCTGCGGACCTGGTCTCTTCCACGGCCCTCATCACCACGGCGGGGCGGGGTGGGGGCCATGAAACTGGAAAGGGAGTGGAGGTTTCTTTTAAATTGGGCAGAAAGACACCCTGCGCCCATCCCTACAAGGCCTCTGCATCTTAAAGGAAAGGTCCTCACGCTTTTGGTCCGTTCGAGCAATTCCTGTGTTCCTTTAGCCCCCTTCCTGGTTGGTTGGTTGGTTTTATTTCGATTTTCTCCATTAGCACATCCCTGTGCTCTTAATCTTTGAAACAGGAAGATCGACTCCCCTCCCTCCCTAAAGTTAACTTATAAGGAGTTTGTAGGCCACGTACGAACTCCTCTGCGGTGTGAATGGTAACATGTGAGGCACTGTGCTCCAGCTTCATTCTTTCATTCTTTGTTGAGATGGGCAGAAAAGTTTTCTCCCCACACGACTTGACTTTAATGGATACATCGAAGGTTTGGAGGAGTTAGGACTTAAAAGTACCCTAGTCCTGTGCAATCATGTCTGAAGGAGTTTTCAAAGTATCCCTTTTTTATTTTTTTATTTTTGGCTACTTGTCCAAAATTCAATTTCTTTTAAGTCTCTAATGAATATCCCAATGTAGTTGTGTCGTACACGGACTTGGTAAATCTGGAAATTTACTGGGATATCGCTCCCCTAACAAGCTGCCTTTCCCTAATTTGACTCTTTGAAAATTGGTGTCACTGTATAGACCTTCCTCCCCAATAAAAAAAAATAATTTAGTAGCTTAAAAGTTTTGTTTTGTTTTTTTTCACCCTTCTGTGTGTCAGGGGAGCATTGCTCCTATTTCTCTGGCCTCCTTTATCAACTTTGGGGCTAGTCAGCTGAATTGCAAAGTATAAGAGAATCATCATTTATAGTGGGTAGCTCTGACCACGTAGTTGTTCTTGTGAATTCTCGCTTTCAGTAGACTACAGACTTCACAATAGTCTTGGGACAGTGCTTCAGGAAAGCAAAAGCTTAACGAGGTTTAGCTTTGTGGTCTTGCCTTGAAAATCACTTGTGTCATTTCCATCATGTAGTACTTGTCAAAGCAAGTCACAAGCTATGTCCATGTTTCAAAGATGAGGGAATAGACCCCCTCTCTACATGGAAGGAATGACAGGGTCACAATGTAAGGAAGTGTGTGTGCCAGGATAGGAGGAATTCATGGCCATTGAACAGTGCACCACGGGGACATTCACAGAATCCCAAGTCAGAAACTTGAAAGGCATCTCTGACTCCTTCCTTTCCTTATATACTGTACATCACATTTTGCCAGGTACCAAATCTTACTGGTTTTACTTTCTAAATGTCTCTGAAATTTGTTGGCAAATTGTTAGTCTTTTCATTGGTCCTCAGATCTCTCTCCTGCAGTTAGCACTTTGAATTATCTTTGCCCTTTGAATTATCTCTGTGTGTTTAGGATCCAAATGATTGACTATTTCCCAGTTGCCCAATCAAGACATTTTTAAATTCTCTTTCCTTTCACTCTTTGAATCAGCCGTTAAACCCTTAAAAATCTAATCTGTTTTATTCTTTTCCACTTGAAGTACTTTTAAGTTCAGGCCAGTATCTTAACTAGCCTGAGATTACCATAGAGTTTTGCTAACTAGTTTCTTTTATTTTATCCCTTTCCAATCAAATTTCTACCTTACATTGAGACTGTTCTTTCTAAAATCTATCATAATTGTTACTTTTCCTCTTGCTTTTAAGGTAGAGTCTGTCCTGAATGTTCTTTAACAAGGCACTTCCTTGTCTAGGCTTATTTCCCAATATTTGCTCTACTAGGAGAACAAAAAGGTAGAAATGGAAAACTGGAGTCACTTGTATATTTCATATACTGTTATCTCTCACCAGACCATGGAGTGTCTATTACCTAGCAGCTGCTTCCTATCCTCTTCTACTCTTCCATCAATATGTGTCTTCAACTTACCTACTTACTCTCTCACCTTCCTTCAAGAAAACGGCTCACTAGCCTAGGTATTAGGAGGCTCTGTACTACATTGGTGATCAGTAGTTTTACTTTCAAGTTCTTTAAACATTCTATTATAATTTGCTGCAAGTTGCATTCTCTCACTAAGTTAATTGGATCTTTCTATAAGGAGAACTAGGTCACGGTTCCTGATTACTGTTTTCTCTCTAGTGACATACATAATAACTGGCCATCTAAGATATTTGATAGATGAGTTAAGGATCCACAAGCAATGATCTGACATTATAGAAGTACTATTTATAAACTACTATGAACAGTCTGTTACAATTTACTTCATGTAGTTCTGTTACATGTCAGTGATTCCTGTTTTAGGTATGTTTGAGAGTTGTGGGAAGAAGAGAGGTTAAAGTCCAGATGTTACATGCTATGATAGGAATCAGCCTATCCATTTACTTATAAATGTGATTCCACAGATCAGAGCATCTTAACAAAATAATAACCCATCAAATTAAATCCTAGCTACAACTACTATTTTGCTTATGTACAGACATTCTACACACCTCTACCAAACTCTGCCCATTAAATTTGTGATGTTACTTAGTACAGTAACTGACTATAAGGCAAATAATTTACTCTTGTCCTTAATTTTTTATATTTTCTGTGAAGTGTTTAGAATGCATACCTTAAGTCAGATGTAATTTCTCCTGTGTATAGTGTATTATAATTTGTACTTATTTGTACTATATAATTTACATTGCCCCATGACAATTAGAGTGTTGCTAATGATAATTTTCCTTTAGTTTTTTTCATTGTGCCTCACTTATATTTGTTCATTTAAATCCCACTAAGGTATCAATGGCCTCCTACTCCTTTGTCTTATTTCATGTCATCGCCTATCAATATCACTGCAGTTGCTTTAGAACACTCACTATGTAAATTGCTTCTGGAAATGGCGCTGTGGCTCAAATGGTAGAGGTCTAGCCTTGAGCTGAAGAGCTAAGAGACAGTGCCAGGTCCAGAGTTCAAGCCCCATGGCTGACAAAAAAAAAAAAAAAGAATCTAGACATAAGGAAGTAAGATGGCAGCCAAACAATAGAGAATTGTTTCAGCTCTCTCTAACCAGAGATTTGGGGTCCTAACACACACTTCTCACCAGGAGGCTGACAACAGAAGAGTCTAGACATTTATCCTTATTGAACTATTTTAACTACTCTAACACTTATTTTTTATTTATTCCCATCTCGTCTGTAATTAGAAGGGTTCCCAATAAAGAGAAAAAAATGAACATTAAAAAGAAGTATAGAGAACTGATGGAAAAACAGAAATTAGAAAAAAAACATACATGGATTTCACAGTTGTCTCCAAGGAATAAAACTTGTAGGATATGTTAATTCTGCCTGTATTCCAACCTACTCAGGAGGTAAAAGTACAAGGATCTTGAGTTTGAGACCAATTTAAACAAAAGTAAACAAGGTCCCATCTTAAAAATTAAATATAGAAACAAAGGGCTAGAAGTAGCTCAAGAGTAGAACAGTTGCCTGACAAACCTTGGGTCCTGGATTCAGTCTCCATCCAGCACTTGTTATAAAAAAGAATAGGAGGGTGGGAAAAAGGAAACCTGTCATCAAGAATTAACTCATATTTTGTTCATTCATTCTCTTGAGTCTTCAGACTAGACTAGACAACCTAAAGATTTTTTTTAACCTAAGAGAGCTATTTATTAAAACTCCTCAGAACTAAGTGGCATTCAATCCTTTCAGATCATATATAATATTTCCTCAGTTAGAATTCTGAGACAATCCATTTCCCTCCCCATATCTTCATAGGTTCATATCTTGTTCTGTCTTCTAAACAAAGGATGACATTTCAATTGCAAGCGGTTTTTGTTAGTGATAGGTATAATAGTGAGGCATCATGGATGTTGTGTACAATGTGGTAGTAACAGTGTTTAGAGGTTGTTTTAGCCTTTTTTTTTCCTTGTTGCTATAGCACAATAGTTGAGACCAGGTCAAGACATTTCAGCTTACATTCCAAAATCTGAGAAGTCCAGGTAGAACAACTACCTCTGGAAAGGGCCTTATGATGTTTCAACTCACAATAAAAAGTAGAAGTGGAGTGACAGCATGAAAAAGAGACAGCTGCAACTAGCTCATCCATTCCTATAAAAAATTGCTTAGTGTACTCATGAGGACCCCCAATACCACACACACACGCCCACATATATCAACACTGCTCTTGGGGAATCATCTTCCATGTGAGATTTGATAAGGACCTGTTCATTTCAGTT